CTACTGATGGGTGAGGATGAGGAGGATATGGATTTTGCTTAGGATTGAATCTTTGATGTTTAAAATCGTTGAACACAAGTCATTTTCTAGTAGTTGTTCTTAATATTTTGCATTTTTGATCATGCTGCTGACCTTTTAAAAATATCAGCTACAGTGTATTTTGTAGAGTATGTTTTTTATGTACAAGACAGGCTTATAAAAGTTTTGGTGCAAAAACTCTAGCACTGAAGAAATTTCATCAAGACGATACATTTAGTAACAAGAGAATAATAATTGAAATGTGATCATTGAAAAAAGTCGACGTTTATCGTAATAGCGGACTTCGAAGCTAAAGATCGTAAAAATGAAGTTTATCTGGTCGACTTGTTTGAATAACAAAACAGCTATTGATTAATGCCATTGTACAAATGCCTTTAGCGTACTGAATTGTTTGTTTACATTGTCCACTTGAATTCAATAAGAACATTAGTTTTTCTGAATATTTATACACTAAGAATTCATTGCTTGGAAGTGAGAGAATATAATGATTACAGTATCCTTCGTAGAAGGGAAGTTCCATTATTTTTAGTATTTTCATATCCTCTGAACCGCGTAGCTGAAAAAAAGCTTTCGCAGTGGGAGGTTCTGTTAAAGTAACTCCAAAATAACTTCCATCGCTACTGAACCGTATTGTACAGATTCCTTGTCCTTGTTTACAAGATATTGGCCGCTTATATTGTTTGTGTAATTTCCAATTAGATTTCATATCCCAAACTTCGACGAGTGCTCCCCCAAAGTCTTTCACGACCAGGATTAAATTCTCGTAACACGTACATTCATCCATATTACGAGCAAATTGAGTGATTTCTGTTGCCAATTTTGTTGGTCTCTCTAAATCTAAAGAATATAGATCATAGTCACCTAAAATGAGAAACTGATTTAAGTAAGTCGAATAGCAGACATCATCAACTTCAAAGTCTCGTTTGATATTCCAACGTTCGTTTCCTTCTTTATCGAGTAGACATAGTCTATTCTTTGGACAGACAAGCAAATATTGATCGTTTGCGGCCATACGAATACCGTCTCTAATCGTAACAGATTTTCTAGGTTTAGTTTTCAAGCGATCGAAGTTAAGTGTTATTGCTGTTGTTTGCACTATTGGGATAATTGCCATTGGTGGCTCACTTGAAGGCTTCATTTCCGTGAAGATAGTTTGTTCGATCGACTTATTTGTTTCGATAGAAATATCCGATTGTATGCATAGACTTCGTTCGGCTGCAGCCTTCTGCTCTGATGCCAACACATACTCTGCTGAGATATTTCGTTGCTTCGTTATGTTTGGTTTAGAAGTCTCATTTTGTTCGCTCGTCATGACTGTTTGTGCGTCGGCGATTTCGGCTATTCTTCGCAGCTTTTCTTTTTGTCGACGTCGTTGATTTCGACTAAGTTGTTTAGTCAGCGCTGTTGGAAATACCTTCATCTCTCTTAAACTATCACTCACAGTATAAACCAAACCATCAGTCACAAACGGTGGCTGTATCAACGGAACTGGTGGCTTCTGCTGTCTGACGTGTACAATGCACAAATCATCTTCTTCGTTAATATCCAAAACTTCGAAATAACTACATGGCAAAAGCAACACTTCTTCTTCATTTTCATAGTAGGAATACATTCTTATGTCTTTCCCATGCATACATTCAATTTTAAATAAAGTTCTAGATCCGGTACTTCCAAGGAACTGTTCTTTTTCTAAAATTCCGCGAGATAGAGTACACGATGAAACACCCCACCACACGAATTTCTGCCCTTTGCGAAACCCAGCACCATAGCTGCCTTTCGTACCTCTCCAAACTGTACATTTGACTGGTTCCAGCTTCCATAGTGCCGTGAGGAATAGTTTCAAGAAAAAGAACCATGGTAGTAAACATTCTCTATCTTCACTACGAAGAGCTTCGTTCAGGAGACGCGGAACTGATTGTTGCATTGTATATAGATGAACAGATGCCCGTTCATCGTGTGTAAGATGGTCTTCTTTAACTTCTTCAGAGTTCTGCTTTGCTACCCATACATCAGTTTGCAGACCGTTGTTAAAGTTTTCCAATGGACCAACCGAGTCTTCAAGCGACAGAAGTGATGAGTTTTCATAGTTTCTTATTGGTGAAAGAATTTTCTTCTTTGGTTCATTGTAAACATCAAGAAAACGTGCTCGACAGGAAGAGAGTAACGAAGAATCAACATGAGAAGATCGTGTTGCCATGAAAACAAATCGTCGAAAATGAAAATTCAATCAGTGA